GCGTAACTCCATCGGTAATGACTCTCAATTGAGACAGTTTGTCGAGCTCCCTTTACTGTTATGTCCCAACATTATACTTTGCAACCCACTGTGTACAATTGTAACATTGGCTCGCGTGTCGTAGATCACTTCTCCGACGGAGGTGACAAATACTTATCTCTTTTTAATCCGACGTGTTAACGCGACGCCGCGTGGGAACAGAACTATAAATAACTTCTCGATTTCACCGAGAGGAAGAGAACGATCGGACGTTGCTCCACTTCTGCATTATCCCCCTTCGCATAGTTTCCTGAAATACCTCGTTCCGTCGCCTGCGTGATCGCCCACGCCGGTCGTTTTATTTTCTCAACGTCGCTTCTTCTAAGGGCAATATTCACGCTCGTGTATGCAAAGCGCACCCCCGTGGGCGTCGTAATTACGAACGCGTGCATCCATGACGTAATTACGGAAAGGTCAGTCCTTTTTCTTCGATTTCCGTTCTTACTTCCACGGAGCGCTCTTTTTCCGAGCACCGCGGAAAGCTCAGCTCTCTCTCTCTCTCTCTCTCTCTTTCTCTCTCTCTCTCTCCCCCTCTATTTCTTTTCCGCCTTCCCCATCCTCTCGTCACCCCGTTCTTCGATTAGAGTCGAACGTTTCCCGAAGGACTGCGGGATATCGACAGGGAAACTCGAAAAAGGCCTCGTCGATCAAGGAGAAACACCTTAGCAAATTATCCAGATCGTTAGCTCCGCGAGGGGGCGCCTTTATCCCCGGTAGAGATATACCCGTTGCATAATGACCGTTTCGGGTAAACGGTGGCGAGGCGACAGTAAACAAGGGAGTTCATCAATATCTGAAGACTGTCTTGAATATTCGATGATGGCAGAGAGAAATGGAAGGGACGGAGATCCCGTGTCCTCTCTCCCGAAACTCCTTTTCAATGTTTCAAAGTTGAATCGGTGTCGAATACAGAAGTTTGGACCACGTGGATATTTAATCGGAGGAATACAATGTTCAACTGTGACCGCATTCTATGTGCGAGAGAAAAAATATCTAAGAAATGAAAAAGAATATTTATTTTGTAGATATCAATAACATATTTATACAATAACATATAATATGCACATATTCTTCTGTACTGATAAAGAATATTTTTCAAATAAGAAAATATATATTTTGAACAAAAGAAATTTAAATGTAAGCAAATATGTTATTAAATATCCACCGAATAAATGTTCTTTTTTATTTCCTACATATTCTTTATCTCGCAGTGCAAACGTTGAGAGATGATTTCGCACTTGTCATGTTTAAAAAATAAGAGACAAGAACTGGATCTGCATTATGCTTCGCATATTTTTTGTTTTCATCTTAGACAAATGTCCGGCTTTCCTATTCGCAGCTCGGTCGCGCGGGAGTGACCTAAAAAGACTTTTGGTAATCAAGGTGATATAACGATATAATAAAAACGACTAATGCAGTTCACGGATCACTCGGTCCGTTTTGCTCGTGCTGGAAGACGCCGCGCAGCTCCAGCTCCCGTTTTCGTTCTCTTTCCATCCCTCTTCCCTTTCCACCGGACGACATTCCCCTCTCGTCATTCTGTTTCTCTCGGAGCGTTCGTTCTCTACGGTCTACCAGCTCCGGGGTTTCCCCGCGCGCGCGCGACGAGGGCGGGAAAAGCAATCTCGCGAAAGTGGCGAGCTCGGTATACAGGCGTGCAGCGCAATTTCGAATTTCTAACTGGCATCCGCGCGGCAGAAAGTCCGGCGTTATGGAGCGACGAAAGTGCGGTTTGTCGCTGTGCGAACGTGCCGCGTATGTTTCGCGCATTCCCGTCATTATGGGAGCCGCTCGATAACGCGTGACTTCTGGCGCGCCTCATTAACTGAAATTTACTTTTACGGTGCCTCAGACGTCCGTCACGGTGGATTTTTACGACCGCTCTTCCTTTTTCGCGCCATTTTTCCTCACACTTTCATCTTTTAGCTGTCCGTATCTGTTGCGAAAACAGGATCGTCTAATGTTTTATGACAGATCCTTCGTGCTTGCCTACCCTCTGAAGTACAATCAGCATTTCACTGACATGCTACGCTTACAACTGATGGTTCAGTTATAAGTATAGTTTTGTGTTCAGTAAAATTGTCACTGAAGAAATCAGCTAGTCTGTCACAAGAGAAAAAATATTTGGTATTAGTAACTGTAACACAGCGGAATAATTACTGTAAATTGTGATAAAGAAAATAATTTTTTAATAAAATTCTACTGTAATGTTAGTGATTATAACTTTATATAGTCTTCATCTTCCGAGGCTTGACGATCTTTTCATTCCTTGTAGTAATTAGGAGTGTTTACGGTTACATCGTAATTTTCCACTTTTTTAGCACGAAACGTCCTGCTGATTATCACATTATCTCAACATCGAGAGCGAGCAGAGGGAATGTTCTCCGGAATAGCTCATAATACTTTTGTCACGCTTTTTTATATCTCCCAACGTGCCTCATTAATTAAAATGTGCTTTTATACTACTTCAATTTTTTGTTATGTATGGCGTAAAGTGGGGGAGATGAAGGATAATAGAAAATTATTTTTGATAATTATAATAATTCTTTTTGAGTACAAAAAGAAATAGAATGAAAAGTGCATTAATAAGAAGTATAATTTCTACGTTAATTACTGTCATTTGCACGCAATACTTTTCGCTCAGCATTCTATGTAAGGTAGCGTTTCATGTATTTTGCACGCATATTCGCAATGTTAAGTATGGTGTACCCCATGTTTAACAACGAAATTATAATTTTCAATTTTATCTTTTCCCCTTCTTCGCATTGTTACACCTTGCTTCCTTTCACCGCAGTTTTACATTATTTATAATGCAATTTTTCACTATCGCGAGAGGCGGGCTTAGTGTCGAAAGGAATATCGAACATTTCGCGGCTTTATTTCGCGCGATTGGATCTCGCGTGGACTGCGTGGGAGGGGGAAGTTTTGGATTCTATCCAAGGGGATATTACATTTGTTCTAAAGCGCCTTCTTTCAAGCGGCGGTGTACTGCGGCTTTCTTCAAAACGTTGCACAACCGCATTACTTCGTCAGCAGAATACCTGCACGTGCTTATGCAGGGAACTGAGAACGATGAGTACCTTATTAAAACTTCCCTCATCAGCTCCGTCATTATCAGCGTGTTTCGTTGTTTCCTTCTTGCCTTTTTATTCTCAAAATTTCATCGTGATTAATCTCTTTTCACGCGGCTGTCCATTGTCCCTCTCACCGAGCTTAATTAAATCTCGATCTAGCGTGGGTCTTTAAATGAAAGTTTTCACAAAGTTTCTGCTTGCTTAGGACCGTTCAATTAAAAACGCTTATAATCGTGCGCTCAGGTTAAACGTACGCGAGCTGAGGCAACTCGAAATTATCGCCCGTACACGAGATAATCGAGACGATAAATTACCTCGTTGATTCCATTTCAATCGTGCTGTGTGCTTTTTGTCCCGATTATTATCGCGAATCTGTGAGGTATGAGCTTGTATAATATTCAGTGCGCAAAACGCTTGGAATAACGCGGAATTGGGGAAAAAACGCGGTAGAAGGTCTTGCGCAACGTCTTTTTACGAAGTGTAAAACTTGGAACGTGGATTATTGTTCATCCGGTACGCGAAGGGATGTTTTTCTTCTCTTAGCGCATTGCGGGCTGTAATTTGTGTTTTTACACGGGCTTTATAAGCATCTGGAGTAAAAGCTAACGTAATATTACACGATCGCGAGTTTTCCTTTCACGATATAGTTAGATAGTTCTGGCCTAGTTCCGACCGTCCGTTATATAGATGTTTTCGAGTACAAAGAATCATACTTCTTATTATACGAGGTTCGTAAACGGCATGCAAGGGGAGAAAGTATACCGTAGACACACATACCCACTTCGAGTCGCGTAACGAAAGTCATTTCACGCTTCCGATACGCATGTTGTTCCAAAAGACTCGCGTATCCGCAGAAAGAGGATTAGTCGTGGGAGCTAAAATACAATTGTAACAGCTGTAATATGTGATATATTGAAGTAGGGACAACTAATGCTGCTGGTTATTGAAACTAAATACATTAGCCATTTGAACTTCGGCATACTGAAGGAAAAAAATATCTAAAAGTTGAAAAAAATATTTATTCACTGGGCATCAATAACATATTTACTTAAATTTAATTTCTTTTATTTAAATAGAACCAATTGCTTTCATAAAAAGCTAAGAGTTTTTTTTTTAAGGAAATCTCATAATATATATCTTCTTATATAAAAAAATGTTTTAGTATAAATAAATTAGTATAAGTAATTAGTACAACAGTAAGTATAGTATATTATAAACTATAGTATAGTTTAGTAGTAAAGGTAATTAGTATAAATTAGTATAAGTAATTTAGTATCTGTTATTAGTATAAATAATTAATATAAGTAAATATGTTATTATTAGTACCGACCGAGTAAATATTTTTTTACTTCTTAGATACTTTTCTTTCAGTGCGCCAGAGCAAAAAAACCCGTCAGGAGCATTAAACTGACGCTTCATATTGCAAACTCAAACCAAGATTTCCCATTGGTTTTTAACACAGACTAATGTTCACTTTAACGCAGGCACAAAAACCGACGTCTCTCGTGCTTGCATGATTACGCCATTTAATACTTATTTCACGGAAGGACGATTTCACATTCATCGGAAGCGCGACAGTGTCCTCTTCCCGACGGTTTTTGTTTCAAGTCTCTACGACGTCAACAAGCGGAACTATTGACGTTTATATTGATTCGCACGCTCGATCGGCCGGCGTTAACCCTTTAGCTTTGGGGTAGGTAATGACGCGACGCATGAGCGTAAACAATAGCTGCATTCCGCGAGGTTATTCCGGGAGGCGACATCTCACTTTCCACATGTGATGGCACGAATACAGCTCGCTATCCCCACTCCGCGTTCCAGCAAGCGTCTTCTCTCTCTCTCTCTCTCTCTCTCTCTCTCTCTCTCTCTCTCTCTCTCTCTGACCATTTGTTCACTATAACCACGCGGCCGTTCTCACTTTATATTCTCACTTTAGAAGCTCAAGTGCCGTACGCCACGCTCAATCTCAGGACCGTCAACTTCACAAGACCTGCGGGACTCTCCCTGATTTGTGAATTTAGTCATCTATACGTGATTCTATATGATATTATATGTATTTCTACTCACGCTCTATTAACGTATTTATAGTGTTATAATTACAACGATAGAACACATTAGTTTCAATAAAAGCTTTTCGGAAATTGGAGGAAATAGCGCAGGCTTATGAAGTTGACAATCCTGACAGTCAGTCGCGAAGCTTGATGGTTAAAAAGACGCAGTGAGAACACAGCTCAAACAAGGATGATCATTTGGACTACTACTATTCCCTGTGGCCACGTACAGTCGTTCACCTCATTTTAGAAAAAAGAGACAGAGGGAGAAAGAGAAAGAGAATGTAAACATACAGTCATGTACATGTTCGTACAGTTTTTTTCGCTACATTTTCATTAGCTTGCGCTAGCTCTCTTCTCTTCTTTCTTCTATCAAGTCTTAATTGTATTTATATCTGTTTCTTATTAAATTCCATAAATGTATACTAGTTTAGCGAAAAAGAACAGATCTATCAGTAAGAGGCACACTCGATCTAACGCTACTAGATTTCCTCAAGTCAGAGTTAGGGCACTGTCCAATATTTATAGGGAAGAAGTGAGTGAGTGAGAGAAATTGCAGCATGTTTCGTCACTTCAATTTTAAAGCTTCTCTCACGCTTCTATTCGCTTCTTCTCTATTAATGGCGGATAGAACTCGGTCCAATGAATAATTATTACGCGGTAGTCTAACTTTGACTTGAGAAACGCTAACGCTACGGCGAAACCTCGATGTCGCGGCTTTAAATGGCCCTAACCCGCGAGATAACTCGCCGCTCAGCACAGCGGTATAAAAGAAGAAGCAATCTCTTTGATACGCGTCTACGGCACGCTCTTTCATTGCCCATTTGGAAAAGTTGGATGTCGTGATCGATTAGAGCACGGTAAACTTGCTCACACGAGCAACACGCAACCTCTTTCATTCGCGATTAAAGAATCTTTTCTTCGTCTCGTTTGTTTTAACTGAAATTTTAGCTGTTTAGCCCTACTTTCGACCTCAACTTTCTTACATCTATGTTCTGAAGAATCAATATATGTTTAATACACACGAAAACTGAAGTCCTACTTAGCATCTCCAAACATCAAGAAAATTCATCGATATAACACTTGTAAGTTCCAAAAAAGACTTCTCGAAAGTGCTAGTAGGTTAAATAGAATCAAAAGAAGTTGATACGAGCTCAAGAATATCAAAGTAGATGTTAAATGAAATATTGAAAGTAGGATCAGAATTTTTACTCGAGAGTGACGAGATTAATATTTTTGTTTGATTAATGTTTTATTGTTACTGTGAGTAATACAGATATAATTATCGTGTTTGTTTGCAAAATGGTAGAAAACTGTCTTGTTTAATTTCATGAGCTCCACTACTAACGTGCGCCGTGCGTCTTTATTTCGAAAAATTTGAAAGACATCGTATTAAACACATCGAATGAATATTCTCTGAATATCTTCTTGCGAATGAGGTACTTGACAAATTTTCACGACCTTTCAATTCGGACTCGAATGATTATTCAACCCACGTACTTCACGTGTTCTCGCGTTCGTGTCTGACACTTGAGATCGACGACTACAAATTTAGCGTCGACAGCTTGTACGCACGCGTGGGTGTTAAGTAACGCGCAGCGGTTAAAAACGAACGCGAGTTGAAGGCGCGCGCACAGTGGACGAGGAGTTGTATCTCTCTTCCGGGATGTATCGTCCCCTGATACCTCCGGGAACGAAGCCGGCAATCGGGTAGCGGTATTAGATGGAAGTATGCAACGAGTCTAGGCGGAGGCAGCGCTCGGTTTTCCCGCGGGACGATTTCGTCGGCATCCAATCTCAGTCCGCAGGCTGGCGCTTCTTTCCCCTCGCAGGTCCCGTTCGGAAACCCAATTTACCGGATAGCAGCCATCCGAGTACGCTTCCCCTCCCTCCCCCGCGGGGTCATGGATATAGGATCGCAGTCGATACAAGACAAATCTAATCGCTCGTCATCGGGAATTGTGGCCGGTCGAAGAGAGGCGAATTACGCGTGTCGGAGAGGCGATTAAGTCAACTCTGATTTCGGGATCTGCGAGCCGCGGTTCAGGCCGCAATTGGATTTTCCGCGTCTCTCCGACGATTCGGGCTCGTCAGTCCGCGTTACAGGCGACTCATTAATAACCGAATTCGGATATAAATAGGATTTCTTCTCGACTTTGCGAGCGTGCAAGCTGTCGGAGCAGAAATATTACTGCCCTCTACCCCTGCCACTCTTTTGGAACCTTCAGCGAGCCGCCGTAAATCAAAGCCCAAGAAGCACCATGGTAGCATGTGAATGATCGGTTCCTCTCTTTCTCTCTCAACGCGTCTCGGGTTCTACCCCGTATTAGATTGCACCCGTGTTTTTTTCGCTTGGCAAGTAGACTGAGCCGACATCAACAGATTGGCATCGATTGGTACGTAACAGTTATGCAGGCGACTTCTTTTCAGAGATACTATTTGTACACCATTTTCTTTCAACAGCGAGGACGTTTTGCAGACCAGTGTTCGGCATTAATCGATGAGAATTTTTTCTTTCGCTGAAGTAATCGTCAAATCACTAATTCATATTAATCAATCGTCATATATGAAATCACAAATTAATTTCACCGGTCGATCAAATGAATTATTAATTAAACTTTGATGCGGCTAATCATACACTGATTAACAATTAATTTAATCAGTCGATTAAATTATTCGTGATTAGATTACGTATCAATTAATTTTGATAATTGATCTGCCGATTAATTTAACCAAAGAAAACCTTAATCAACGCTCAGCACTGATTGAAATCTTTTGAGATTAATTTTTTTATGTTTAAAACCAGAGCTGGACATTAATCCATCAAAGTTTTTCTTGATTAAAATAACTGGTAGATCTGTAATCAGAATTAATCAATCGTTATATGTAAGGTCGTAAGTAATTACATCGATCGATAAAATTGACTACTTATTAGACTTTGATGTAATTGATGTAATTGATTATAACTGACTAATAATATAAAGACTATTAACAATTATTTATTATATAATTACTCTACTAACAATTAATTTTATAAAAAATTATTTGAATCAATTGAATAATATATAGCGATTACATGTATAATGATTAATTAATCTCGGTTATTTAGTCGGAGAAAATTTTCGTCGATTAATACCTCAACACACTGTTATCGACTTGGAAACTGTGCAACGACTGCCGTTAGCCCGGCATAATTATGGCGGGGATTTCGCGGAATCGTACGATCTTTGCTCCTTTGGGTGGTCTTTACTTGAAGACGAGATATTTCGTTGGCGAGTGTATTAATATTGCGTTATCGCGCGTGCGTATTTCTGTGCAATGGTAAATCAACAAAAAGATGACTTCCGATACACGCCGTCACGGTGAAATTTGGCCCATTGTTCGTTCGATGGGAGAGGAATTTTTGTTGCAACGCGACGGGGCTTTTTAACGACGTAGGGCACAGCGTGCCGCCACAAAGCGCGGCGACTTCGGTGCGCGCGTTTTTCTCAGGGCTCGACCTGGCCGAGGGTCGTTTCTACCTTGCACAAAGGCTCGCCCGGGAGCACCGGGAAAAGGAACGGGGCAGGAGGGAGGAAGGAGAGCGGGGGAGACCTCTGTCAAGGAACTCCATCCGAGGGCTTTGCCCGACGAAAAGTTATATGAGATAGAAAACTCAGAGTTACCGCGGCGTGAGGCGACGACGCGTGCACGTGCGCGTGTGTGCACGTCGTCCGCACGTGCGATGGCGATTGCGAGTGTTATCGTCGTGTCCAATCTGGTGAGTAATGGAACGCGCAAGATCGGTTTACACACTCTGTACACCTATCGAGCATTAGGAGCCCGTCTAATCAGAGTCACGGTGTAACAACCAGCGATACCTATCGATCCCGTGATGTCTCGACAAAGGCAATTGTCCTTGGCACACCTCGTCAATGATGTCATAATAATCGCCACACGAGCGCACTACGAAAGTCCGGCGAGCAAAAACAAGCTGCGAGGGAAATGAGAACAAGAGCATGGCGTTGGATATAAATGTTGGGGTGACCTGTGAGTCGACTTTTTGATTCTACTTTTGATCTCAATATTCTGTTCAACTATTTTGATACTCTGAATCTTGCATCAATCTTTTTAAATTTTATTTAACCTACTAGTTTTGCCGACAGGCAAGCTCTTTAGAACGTGTACACAGAGAGAATTTTATAACAAAAATTACTGTATAGAATTTTGTAGTCAAGGAATAAATCGACATTCTATCGCAATTTTATCCTTTCATCTCATACGCTGAGAGAAAAATATCTGAAAACTAGTAAATATTTATTTGGCGAGTATTAGTAGCATATTTATTTATACTAATATAAAATATATTTCAAATAAAAAATAATACGAAAATGTACATTGAGAAATAATAAAAAAATATACATTTTCTTAAAACCTTAAGAAAACCTTAGTATTTTTACGAAAATAATTATTTATTGTATTTAAATAAAAGAATTTCGATTGAAGTCAATATACTTAGTGCCTCCACCAAATGAATATTTATTAATTTTTAGATATTTTTTCTTTTAGTGTGTGTGTTGTTTATATTGAAATGTGCTGTTCAAAGATTTGCTACATTTCTAGTAAAATTTTCTATACTTGTAGCAAATGTAGTGTACTTGTAGCAAAATGAACTATGCTGACAGTTTACTCCTAGGCTAATAAAAACATAGTAAAATTGAAAAGAATCTATAATGTTTTCTTTGTGTACAAGCGGCATTTTGTGCATTTTCTACCATCCAGAAGCACTAAGTAAAATTTCAGTTTCGATGTGTACTACACGTACACTAATCTTTCAAGATATTAGAAGGTTTCGGTTCAAAGTACACTGCAAGTGTGTTATTTTGACTGGATTTCTTTTTATATGTTTTCTACTGTTTTAAGTCACATCACTTTTAAACACTTTTAAACATACTAAGCTATAATTTACTCTTTTAAACATACTAAGCTATAATTTACTCTTTTAAACGTGTAAACTGACATAAACGGCGAGAAGCGTGTAAAATAAAGTAATTTGGCTGAAGCCAAATTACACACTTGGATTTGCAGCACAAGGTTGAAATTTCGACTCGGGGAATTTGACGCTTCGTATTTCTGCGAGATCACGTCTAATCTCACTCTTGGAGCAATAATAGTGACATGATTCTCTTCGCGCGAATTCTGACGATCTCTTTCACGTACGAAAAGAAAATCGAATTGAATCAGACATCACAGCAGCGTTCATTATCGTTTCTGATGGATTTGTTTTTTTACCGGTATTCTTGTCGGGTTGATTTGTAATTCACGTTATATCCTTAATCATTGCCAATCAGACGAATCTTTTTCGTTATTCGGTGCCGTCAAAGCGGCGACGCGAAGGTGAAATGGAAGAGCAAGCTAAGCACCGTCTGAAAAATATTAATCGCGAGGAGGTCGTGATTGTCCTGGAAGAGATTATCCACGGAACGTCGGAGATGGAGGCATCCGTTCTTAATATTCCTCATAATCGCGTTCCATCTCATTTTCAGAATTCCTCCTTACAAGCGAGACTCTTTGTGAATTTTTAATATTAATGACTCGTTACCGTGATATCCCGCCAGCTCGATTGACGCTTTTGGCGACGCGATTTATTATAATATTCATGGCTGTTCCCGGCAGTTTTCTCGGGCAATGACCGATTACTGACGTAGCACGGCGGAGGATCGAGTGAGACGAAGACCACGAATTTTCCGTCGATTGTAAAACTCCTAGAACACTGATATCACATGTTTATTACATCGTATCTCATCGTCGTGTCGATCTCGTCAATACACTAAAAAATACATATTCTTGTTCTTAGAAAAATCTTCTAAAATAGGCACCAAGTGTAAAATGTTTTAAACATAAGATTTATTCCTCTTGCTTTGAGTGGAAATTCTCTCCTTTTATTTAGAGAATTTCTTCTAGAACCAAAATATAAGTTTTTCAATGTACTGCATTTATCCCGAAAATGGAAATAACCGATCTTCTTTTTCTTCAAATCTATTTTTGCACGAAATATTGCGCTTGCATTGAAAATTGCTGAAATCATTAAAATAGCCGCCTGATCTCTAAGAGTTGATAAAAATTCGTGCCACTAATTAAAACATGCAGCTCGTCCATTAAGAAAAGATTAAACATTCGCTGTTCATGTCGCAAATATCTAATATGTAAAAACAAGTGTTAAAGATATATTGCGCATATAGTAAAAGTTACCACAAATTAGAAATATATTAATATTTCTATTTCAACATGGCATATCATTATAGTCTATTTATATTATTTTTTATTTTCTTTAAACTTGTATCTCTGAATCATGAAATTTCGTGTTTACTGAGTTTACGACACTTTAAAGTGGAGTGACTTTTGATCCAGGCTCTGAATGTGTCGAATTGTTTGTAATCACTTTTAGAGATGCAATGTAGACTAATCTGTAATTTTGTCTGTTCATTATTTTTGAGATATGGGCAATACATTCCCATATATTTCTTGGAAGATGCATTCGACTTTCGTAGCTCGATTTTAAGGTCGGGATTCGTCCTGCTAGATAAGCGAGTTTCTCGTGAATTACGATCACTGAACAATCGCCCGCGAAATTCCCACTTGCATCAGCCATATCGCCCGAAAATCGGGATAATCCAACAATCTCAGTGGCGGCGCTTCGAGAAGGGACTATGTCGCGAAAAATCCGTGGACGAAGAAAGGGCGGACGGATGAATTCTCGTGAGAGAACGTCGGCACGCGGGGGGTACGCTTTCCGCGGAAGCAATTTGCAAGGTTCACTTCTTAGAGCCAAGCCCGAAGAGCAGCGAATGGGTCATGGGTGGCGTATCGTGGCCTGCGATCTTGGCCGTAGCATCCGTAACCATTCTTCCCGTTCTCCTGGGTCGTTTCCATTTCCCTCCGCGCGCAACCTTAACCCATATGCATGTTCACGTGATACGTCTGCGCGAGATCAGCGTAGTCTGACCTGTCGTGTGTTTTCCTGAGCGACTCGAATCGAGAATCCTCGCCGAGCTAGTCACACTGTAATCACACTGACGTGCTTCCCGGGGTTTACGCTGGAATCGTTAATTCAGGATGTCTGCGTCTCTTGGCTGTCGAGATTGGCAAAACGAAGTGTTTGCGGAACTTCAAAGTGCGGTTTACAACGCATCGTTGCTTCGAATAGTTTAACCTGTGACAAGACTCGATTTCTGCGACGTTAAGCGCAAGGCACGGTCTTGCACCTTACAAATTTTCTCAGCAACTCCGTCAGTTGTTGCCATCAAGACGTTAGGCTTTTGCCGTGTTCAAATAATCAAAACTGATCAGAATATCAATCTTATTTCTTAAAAAGCACAATCTATTACGTAATTATTACGTGAGCAAAACATCACGATTCTCGTACTTTCAGTCCTTTGAATTTTCTTTTCTTCTTCTGAAACATGAATTTCATGAATTCATGAATGTTTGTCTAGACAAAGCTTGATTAGTGACAATATCACGAGAATTACCATGTCTAGACGGTCGCAATAGGCTCGCACGAAGCTTCATGTTGAAGTTCTGAAGTTACAAACACATCAATGTAAGCTGGAGCTATTTACCTGCGACCTGCGGGAGTTCAGTCGGGAAAAAGGCAACGACGAAAGCGAACACTCAAACTGAAAGCTACTGAGGACTCGAAGTCATACATATCGTTGTCAACGTTGTTAGACAAAGTGTCTCACTTGACGTACACTCCAGTTGGAGTGTATATCTCCAGTTTTGCCATTCTCGGGTTGAAAGCAATCTCAGATTTTTTATGCGGCGTGGTTATTGTTTGCCCGATAATTCGAAGGTGCCGCGGAGACGTTTTGTGGAAACAACGTTCGCGAGCGTAAATAGACACTCAGGAGGACGCGGCCATTTTTCCAACGATAATCCTCATTTCGCTGCGCCGTGGTGCTTAATGAGGCAGGTTTCGCTCGCAGGCCGAGCTCGACCATGTCAAATCTCATTTAAATCGGCTTTGGGGCCATGTCGTGGCGTAAGCTGTACGTCATTTTCATAATCCGTTTCCCACTTGATGCGGGCGAAAACAGCGCCGCGAGCGCGCGGACTTTTATTCCGCGCGGAAATGAAATTCGCTGGAATATCTTTCACGACGATGGCCTGGGCGTTTTCACGTACGTAGGAGAGGCGCGGGGAGGAGATGTAGTATGGATGGCGCTCTTAACCGCGAGACGCTCTCAACAGCTCTGATTACGTTATACATCTTGAGGGAAATAATACCCTTACGGCGCGCGAATTAGAGCGCGGGTGTTGCATCGGCCGATATACCGATTCCGCGCTTCTGTCCCCCCCCCCCCC